TGATTGATTGATTTATTGATTGATTGATTGAGTGAATGATTGAGTGATTGATTGAGTGATTGCATTATTGGTTGATTGAAACATTCTTTGGATTATTTATTGAATTGTTGATTTTCAGAACTCTCAAACGTAACGCCCACTTTTTCGGTTCGAGGCTTTTTGTGCCAAACTTGTTTTTTTTCTTAAAAAAAAAAACAAAAAAAAAAACACCGGCTTGGGCTGCTGCTGGTGGTGATTTGACCATCCCTCATTACTTATCTTCTGCCATTGGCTCCTTTCTATTGTTGGGGATCATATCACCCCCACCCCCAACGGCTTGGGCTCCTGTCTATTGGTGGGCAGAGCATCACCTGCTGGAAATTCTGCCCTCCATCGCCAATACAGGGCCTCGCCTCGCTCCACTCTACTGTCCGCAAGAACTTTTTTTTTTTTTTTTTTTTTTTGCTTTACAATTCTTTTAACGGTTGGCTGGATTGCTTGCTATCAGAGTGAGCAAAAAACGGACAAAACGCGGCATCGCTCCACTTGCTGTCCACTATGCAACTCATGAAATCGTATCGAATGAACAGGAGCGGAGCGATGACCACTGAAGTATGCTCCCCACCTGCTGAAATACAGGATGATGAGGCCAACACACACACACACAAAAAAAAAAAAAGGAGTATGAAATTTATGATGTTATTACAGAGTTTGAAGCACAGCATTTGCAGCGAGTACAGGATTCGAGCTCTGTATTGACATCGTAATCTAGGCAACCAGAGTGGTCCGGGTCCACTTGCCCCGTTGTGCCAAGGGGAAAAAAAAAAAAAAAAAAAAAAAAAAAAAAAAAATGGTAAATATTTTCGACGTAACAATCAGGTGGAAGAATTTCAGAAGGGAAAAAAAAGAGACGAAAGCAAAGGGGGTTCCTAAAGGAAGGCCTATGGGGGAGGGGGGGACAAGGAAAAAAAAAAAAGAGGAAGGCCTTGGTATAGCTTTCTCGGCCTTTTGGCTAAGTAAGATCAAATGCAGTGTATCTGTTCTGATCAGTTTAATATCTCATTCGTGGTCCATGGGACCACATTTAAAAGAAAAGGAGAGCTTAAAAAAAAAGAAAAAAAAGGTAAGGCCGTGGTGGAAACACGAAGCCCAAAAAAAAAAAAAAAAAAAAAAAAAAAAAAAAAAAAAAGTGCCCCACATAAACAGTAGACTCAATCCTCATTCATCAAAACAAGATTCTCGAATCCCCAGCCTAATTATAGTACAAAAAGAGAAGGAAAAAGGGACTACATCAACAACAACAACTAGCTGGAATTCTGATAACTGCCATTGGGATTCTACACAAGTGAGCATGGCGTCACATCAGCCACCTCCTTGTCACTTCATCGCATCACCTCATTGTATCCCCTTGTCTCATCATCCATCAGTGATGTACCGACATAATGTACTGCGGGGTCCCGTCCCAAAGGAATTCAAAGATGAACATATTCAAAGACGAAACTTCTTTGCTGAGCCCCGTTCTCGGATTCCGAAGAGGTCCCATTGTCCCCCCATTATTCAGATTCGAAGCTCCCGAGCAACAAATCCTTCGGGATGGTCAGGGGCCTCAGCCCAGCACATGGTAGATGATTAAGATCGGAGCTCTAAAATGAAGAAACAGATTCGAAGCTCCCGAGCAACAAATCCGTCTTCCTTGGATCTCGCCTCTGGTGTCCGTACGTCGAACTTCTTTGTGGAGCTCCATTCTCGGAAGATCTCCGATTGTCCCCCGTTCTTTATTGCAGAGTGTAGAATCTGTAGATGATTAAACCACCAGTACGTGACCCACACATTGGCCGTGGGGCCCTCTCCGCGACTTCAAATGCCGTAAATGTGACAAAGGCCATCAATGAGATTTATCAACGGCGCCCCAGCCACGAATGAGATTTATGAATGGTGGCCCGGCCTTGAAAGTCATGGCCTGTTAATGTGCGTGGATGCACGGGCCAAGTACTGGCAGTTTAAGATCAGAGCTTTAAACCAAAGAATCGGGTCCTGGAGATCAAATCTCCAGAGCAACGGATGGGTCTTCCGAGGATGTCGCCTCTGGTGCCCCGACGTCTTGAAGGGGATCATATCATTCTAAATCCTTGTCGCCTCAGCTTCTATAATGTTCTGAAGCATCTAGAATCTTCTGAAATATGAAACATCACCCCACCTTCTTGAGGATGCTCTCTGCACAACTTCACAAGTATGGTTGGCCAGCCTAGGGTAGGGTATACTTAGGGTATACCCTACCCTAGGTATACCTAGGATATACTTAGGGTATACCTAGGTACACCTAGGGTATACCTAGGGTATACTTAGGGTATAGCTGGGGTGTACTTAGGGCTGGGGTATACCTAGGATATTCTCAGCTAGGCTGCTAGCTAATGATTTTCTGCATATCTCAGTACTTTTCTCCACGAGTTGTTTTCCTCAGATCAAGGCGGGTTATGGCCCTGCCTGGCAGTTTGATTCCTAAGATCTGGTTTTCTCGGGCCCGGGTACCTCAAATTGTTCTGGCATCTGTTCATATATATGGGATGCTGGGTCCGGTTCCCACCATGTGTTGCTCCCCACAAATTGATTGGAGCATTGTTTTTCCTTCCCCCCTCCCCTAAAAAAAAGGGCTCAGATACTTATCCAAAGGTATCTGGACGTAAATGCAATCAGATACTTATGGAAGAATGAGAATACCCTCAATAATATTATTGTGTAGGACATTCATAGGACTAGATCAAAATCATGAACAAGTCTCTTCAGGGGCGAGGTCCCACTAGCAAAGGGGATTGGATTGAACACCTGAATCTGGACTTCTTTGTGGAAAGGTGCAGAATGTCGAGATTGAACTGCTTTTCGGCATCTCTGCTTAAAACACGTCCAGATTCAGGATATTTATCCAACCCTCTTTGCTAGTGGGAGCTCATCCCAGGTGAGAAGCTTTACAACTACAGCTAGCATTGCGATTAACGCAAAGACCCATAGGAATGTGCTGGTATACTGTTGACCGTGTTGAGGCAATCTGGCAGCTACAGCAGCAAATCTGTTCAGACTAGCTGTCAAAGCCTTGACTGTCCGTCTGTATGACAATTGAGAAGGATGGTCCCCAAGCCGGATACCTTGAGAGGGATCGAACTTGCACCCTAAGTTGCTCAGCTTCACATGCGCCTCCGCGTAGTCCCGGAAAAACGCATCCTGATCCTCTGCATACTTCTCTGCATAAACCTTGAACCCTTCATCTTGAAACAGCACAGCGTCGGTGGGCAAGACCAGCAGATGCTCGTCGGTTTTGTCCCTTACTTCCTTGTAGTAGCCGTTGTCAAATTTGAGCCATTCTTTGGTCCAGGATTGACCGCCTGGTGCGCCTGGTCCATCCTTGGTGTAGGGTGTATGGATCTTGCCAAACCCACTGCGTTCCGGTCTAGCTCGGCCTAGCGTGTGCGCTCCGGAGAGCGCCACGATGTCATTGTCGGTAAAACCCATTCTGTAGAACACACCTCGGAGATGCGCAGCCGGGTCAGGAGGATTAGCCATGGGTAAGACGTTGTCGGGAGCGCAGAACTCCTCGGATGGAGCGTCAATACGACCATACTTCATGGGGAGCGTCGGCCCTCCTGCCATCTCGATTGCAGTAGCGCCTGCGAGCTGGAGAAGATCGGCATTACTAACTGCAGGGTACTTCTCTCTGATGGGATCAAGCAGCTTGATGGCATTCACCAAGCCTGCGTTGGACTCATGACTCAGCTGGGGGTGGTATCGAATGGTACCGATGGCCCCCCCTGCAAAAGGCCACCCTGAAATGTTCTGGTTGTAAGTCCCTGCATCATGCCATGCCAGTCGAACAAGAATAGGATTGCAATTCTTCTCCTTTATCAGGACCTTTAAATCTTCCCGGGCACACCTCAGTTGCTCGAGCACCGCTTGGGGATGCCACTTGTGGCGCCCCAAAGGGCTCCGTACCCATATGCTCCGCTTCCCGCCCCCATCTCCTACCTTGGCGGTCCGCGACTCTGGTTGCAAGCTCATGCTATCCGGGAAGACCACCTGTTCCCTATGGGGGTGTCGGAACCAAAAAAAAAGGACTCTCTCTCTCTCTCAATTGCTGTGATCAGAAAGTGGTCAGAGTGATTTCTTCTGCAGTGAATGACCATTGACAATCATTGACTATCATAAGGGACAACGGAGCGGGTTTCCAGCAGGTGCAGCTCCCACTAATGTAGGTGGAGCCTTCAAACAGACAGGGAGCCACTTCAGCAGGATGATGCTCTTATCACCTCCTTAAGTGGAACCCACTGAAAAAAAAAGGATGGTACAACGCACAGTGAACTGAGTGAAGTGATATGCTGCTACTACCGGTAGGAGGCAGAGCAGGGAATCTATCCTCCAGATATTCAGCATAGACTTTACTATAGTTCTCAGCACAGTACTGCATAGTAGTACATACTATACTAATCAGCAGCCTGCCCATCCTGCAAAGTACCCAGCAGCTACTTGTTCTATGATCATCCTGAGCTAAGAACAGGAGCTAAAGTACCATACATAGACAAGCAACGTATAACATTGTAAGTATAGCATAGTACCTGCTAAGTAGCCAGAAAGTACGCACTATGCAAGTTAGCACAGTCAACTGCTAAGTAATGTAAGTATAGCATAGTACCTGCTAAGTGGCTAAGCACGCACTATGCAAGTAGNAAAAAAAAAAAAAAAAAAAAAAAAGACTTGTGAAGTTGTGACAGCATGCTGACAATCTCACAGCTGTTTGTCTGTGTGTTTGGCTGCTGGTAGATTGAGGAGAGAGAGACAGCTATCAGCCATTAGAGGAGAAGCCATCGTCACACCAACAGCAGCAGCAGGAGCAGCAGGAGCAGCAGCAGGAGGAGGAGGAGGAGGAGGAGGAGGAGGAGGAGGAGGAGCAGAGGTGATGGTGGCAGGAGGTTCTGAACAGGGGGAGTTATAAGGAAGAAGATTAAAAATGAATTAAGTTTTTCTTGTTTCTGTTTTTCGCTTTGGCGCTCTGATATCATGTGACAATATATATATATCGTTCAAAGGGCCTCGCTCCAGTACTCTCGACATGCACAAAAGACAAAAAAAAAATGATGGCGGTGTATCTTTCCATGTTCTAGCGGAAGATTCACTCTCGTTTTGCACATTTCGAGAGTAGTGGAGCGAGGGCCAAAGAGGAGAACTGCCCGGTGAGCCGTAGGGACAGAGGGAGAAGAGGACAACAACCGAGGGGCTGTGACGACAAACTGTTCTGTGGGACTTTTCACCGACTCATCAGGAGGCTGATATGTATATACTATATACATATATATCGTCACAAACAGAACTGCCCGGTAAACCGTAGGCAGAGAGAGAGAAGAGGACAACAAACGAGGGGCTATACATATAGTGTATATATATCATTCACTGTCTTCTGGCTGCATCTGGACTGGAAGCTGACACAGATACAGATGTGTCAAGCTACTGCCTGCTTGAGGATCATAGGCTGATTTGTATATATGATCATTCACTGTCTTCTGGATGCATCTGGACTGGAAGGTGGCACATATACAGATGTGTCAAGCTACTGCCTGCTTCAGGATCATAGGCTGATTTGTATATATGATCACTGTCTTCTGACTGTATCTGGACTGAAAGTTGACACAGATACAGATGTGTGTCAAGCTACTGCCTGCTTGAGGATCATAGGCTGATTTGTATATATGATCATTCACTGTCTTCTGGATGCATCTGGACTGGAAGTTGGCACAGATACAGATGTGTCAAGCTACTGCCTGCCTGCTTGAGGATCATCATCATCATCATCCTTTCCACCACTGCCTACCCTCTTCGGGCAAATTCAAGCGCCGGGTCATTATCCCTCTGTATTTGGGGCAACTTTCTGTCCAGATGCACCGATAATGACCGGGCGCGTTCTATTTGGGTTGAAGACGGTTGTGTGGTAAATGCTCACTAATGGTGATTGTCTGTCATCGAGGACGAAACCATATCCGGTCATAATCGGTGCATCTGGCCTGGAAGTTGGCCAGATATAGAGGCGGTTTTCCCGAGAGAGCAGAACAAAAGGATGCTTGGTGACTTGGGTTGAGATGTTGAGGAATTCCTGGCATTATTGAATTTATATAATAAAACTGCAGCTTCTTTCAAAAAAAAAAAAAAAAAAAAAAAAGGGTGATGCTTGGTGACAGCCACCGCAGCGATGTCGGGAACAGATTTCCCCATCTCATGCCCGTTCTCTGCACCGGGACGGATTTCCACAGTGCTGAAAGGAGTCCCAGGGTCCTGAAAGGAGTCCCACACCCATTCGGCTGAAAGGAGTCCCACACGCTTTGGCGGCAAGGAGTCCCGCAGTGCTGAAAGGAGTCCGACAATGCTGAAAGGAGTCCCACAGTGCTGAAAGGAGTCCCACGGTCCTGAAAGGAGTCCCACACCAATTCGGCTGTAAGGAGTCCCACACCCATTCGGCTGAAAGGAGTCCCACAGTGCTGAAAGGAGTCCCACGGTCCTGAACGGAGTCCCACACCCTTTGGCGGCAAGGAGTCCCGCAGTGCGGAAAGGAGTCCCACAGTCTTGCTGAAAGGAGTCCCACAGTGCTGAAAGGAGTCCCACACCAATTCGGCTGTAAGGAGTCCCACACACATTCGGATGTAAGGAGTCCCACGGTCCTGAAAGGAGTCCCACGATGCTGAAAGGAGTCCCACACCCTTTGGCAGCAAGGAGTCCCGCCGTGCTGAAAGGAGTCCCACAGTCTTGCTGAAAGGAGTCCCACCGTTCTGAAAGGAGTCCCACAGTCCTGAAAGGAGTCCCACAGCCTTTGGCGGCAAGGAGCCCCCCAGGATTGGGGTCAGGTGCGCGATTGGTATCGGGATGAGGGCTGGGATCAGGATTGATCTAAGAGGCAGGGACGGGACGGTCAGGGGGAATGATGAGCAGGGAATGAATCTGGCGGGTAATCAGCAAATGATCAGGGAAGATTAGGGTCTGAAATGGGAAAATGATTTAGTGAGTGATTAGTGTTAGGGTAAGGGAACCGGGAAATGAATCAGGCCATGAATCAGGCCATGAATCAGGGGGAATGAGTCGGGGAACGAATCAGGGAGAACGAATCAGGGGGAATGGATCAGGGGGAATGGATCAGGGGGAATGAATCGGGCAATGAATCTGGGAACGAATCGGTGAAGGAATGAGCGAATGAATCAGTGAGTGATCGGGGGGAATAAATCAGGGCAATATTAGTAGTACGTGACCAGGGGGAATGAATCAGTGGGAATGAATCAGGGGACAAGAGAAGCCAGGAAGTCAACAGGGAATGATCAGGGAAAAGATGAATCAAGCCAAGGAATCAGCCAAGGAATCAGGGGGAATGAGTCAGGGAATGAAAATATAGTGAGTGACCAGGGGGAATGAATCAGAGGGAATGAATCAGGGGGAATGAATGAGGAACGACAAGAGAAGCCAGGGGATGAATCAGAGAATGATCAGAGAATGATCAGGGAAGTGAGCAGGGACGTGAGCAGAGAAGGAGGAGGGAATGATTGGGAGTGATTAGGGAACGGTTGTGGAAACACAGGGAGATGATCGGGGGAATGATCAGGGAATGATCGGGGAATGATCAGGGCATGATCAGGGAATGAACAGGGAATGATCAGCGAATGATCAGCGTGGGTGGTCCGTGATCTCTGAGTTTTGGTCAGGTAACGAGCTCTGTTGTGCGTTGTTGCAAACGCGAGGAGAAGATATGGCACCGACTGTGCGCTCACAGCGGTACCTTCTGACTGTGGAGTACATTGGCTCGAGCTTCCTGGGTTGGCAGAAGCAGAGGACGGGGAGGACAGTCCAGGGAGTGCTGGAGGAAGCCTTCGAGAAGTTTGTCAGCCAGCCGGTAATCATCTCCGGTTCCAGCCGTACGGACACTGGCGTGCATGCACTGGGCAACACGGCGCACGTGGAATTTGAACGGACTAGCAAACGACATCCGGGGGAAGTGCTGCCCCCCCACGATCCGACCGTGGTGAAGAGAGCCGTGAACCATTTCCTGGGGCAGAGCCGACCTCAGGACGTGGCGCTGGTGGATGTGCAGTGCGTCCCTTCGACGTTTCACTCCCGGTTCGCAGCGAGAGAGCGTGTCTATTGCTACAGGATGACCTCCAGCTCCGAGCCTCTGTCCATCTTCGAGCAGGAGCGGACCTGGCACGTGCCTGCACCCCTCGATCTTCAAGCGATGAAAGAGGCTTGCGCCCTACTCGAGGGTCACCACGATTTCAGCTCCTTCCGTGCGTCGGGATGCCAAGCCAACTCACCGTTGAGAACGCTCGACGAGCTCACCGTCGCGGAAATCCCCTGCTGGTCCCTATTCACTCCTGCTCTCCTGAAAACTGCTGTGGTTAAGTCACCGAAAGACCAGCAGCAGGTTCTCAGGGAAGGAAGCTGTGCGACGGAGGGGAAAGAAGAGACAGCTACCCGCCGACAGAGTCCGGCGGCCTCTGAGGGCGGCAAGGGTATCGTTCTAGTGCCTCCTGTGGATGGAGCAGAGGAGTCCTGGAGGTGGAATACGACAGAACTCGACAGTCCCGAGGCGAAGACGAAGGAGGAGGGGGGGGAGAATGGGGGTGGTATGTTGCAGGCAAATGGTACTAAGGAGGGCAGAGAATCAGCAGCCGGCGATAGTGCTGCAGAGAGGAAGGAGCAGCGCGAGTGCGGGGAGGAGGGGAACGCGTTGCGAGCGGCTGTTGGGAGCAAAAGGCCAGGTCCTCTGGGCGAAGAGGTAGATGAGAAGGAAAGGGGAACGAAGAGACCGAACGGACAGGGAAGATCGCCTGAAAGACTGGATGTGCACAGAGGTTCTGGGCCCGCCGGCCGAACGGATGGAGCGGAGGGAAGCCTGCCGTCATCAGCACGGTGGACAGGCGGACCTCGGAACTACGTTGTCGTCGCACGGGCTCGATCTTTCTTGTATCATCAAGTGAGGTTGATGGTGGGTTTGATCAAAGCAGTAGGTTGTGGGGAGAGGAGTGTGGCTGACGTAAAGCGGATTCTGGAAGCACGGACCCCTACGGCTGCTCCTCCCATGGCCCCCGCATGCGGCCTTTACCTTGCGAAGGTCGCTTACCCCGTCGACGAGCGAGGTTTTGTAGTGGATGTAGGACACGACAACCGCCCATCTCAAGCCGAAGGGCTGCAAGACGACAGCGGCGATGACGATTGAAGCCGTTTGTGGCAATTGGCGATCACATTCTTGCATCGGTTACTTTTTTGCGCGGGAAGGGAATCTGATTGCAATCGATTCTTCGGTCAAATTCATTTTTGGCAGAAGGTGCAATTGCAATCACGTTCACGTTCCCTATTTGCAGGATTCCACCATTGGATCGATAAAAGTCCTTTGGGACTTCAATATCGAGAAACCTTTGGTCAAATTCATTTTTGGACTACTTTCTTTGGTGCGAATTTGACTGTCTTTCTTATGTCAAATTCATTTTTGGATTACTTTCTTTGGTGTGAATTTGACTGTCTTTCTTAGGTCAAATTCATTTTTGGATTACTTTCTTTGGTGNGTCAAATTCATTTTTGGATTACTTTCTTTGGTGTGAATTTGACTGTCTTTCTTAGGTCAAATTCATTTTTGGATTACTTTCTTTGGTGCGAATTTGACTGTCTTTCTTAGGTCAAATTCATTCTCGGATTGCTTTCTTTAGTGTGAATTTGACTTTCTTTCTTATGCATTTCTTAGGTCTTCCGGGTGTGCCGTCCTTTGGGACATCCGTCAGAATTGGAACGATACAGAGAAAGAAGATTAACATGGCCCCTGCGCAGGCGATTTGATGGGAAAAAAAAATGAGATAAATAAAATGCGCGTATCTCAACATAAGGTGATATATGGTCCAGATTCAATGATGCAGAAAAGAATATCCTTCGCCGGACCTTCGGGGCATTCGTCAAAACTCGAACGATACAGAGAAATTAAAACTCTCTCTCTCTCTCTCTCTCTCTCTCTCTCTCTCTCTCTCTCTCTCTGCCTGTGTGCGTCTCTGTCTGTCTGCCTCTCTCTCTCTCTCTCTCTCTCTCTCTCTCTCTCTCTCTCTCTCTCTCTCTCTCTCTCTCT